TCTTTTAAATATAATCTCCTCCTTTACTGTGTTGATTCCCTTTATGTATGTAAATGTTTCTTGTCTTTCCTTCAAGCTATACATGTTAAGATCCTTTAACCTTTTCTTCTAAATTTTATCCTGTATTCCATGAACCAGTTTAGTAGCCCTTCTCTGAACTCTCTCAAAAGTATCAATATCCTTCTGGAGATATGGTCTCCAGTACGTGAGGTCTCACCAGAAAGAGAAAAATTATGGTTGAACAGACGTATAGCTCAAATGATAGGTTTTGTTTTGATCACAACGTGTACAATTACCTCCGTCCTTAAGGGGTTATTGGTGTTACCTGCGGTTTTGATGTTTCTCAAAAATATTTACATCCAGAAAAGACTATATTCAGAAACCTGACATTTAAATTTCGACCCTTCTGACTATTGAATAGGTTTAGTGCCCATGCTAATTAAGCCGTTCCAATATATGCAACGTGAGATAAAGGTCAGGGCACAAAGTGAAGGATTAGGTCAATTAGACATGCATTGTCGAGTGATTTCAATTTTAATAATGATATCGGCACACAACTACTGTGAGAATCTTCTGTGTTCTATTTGCAAATATTATTTAGTTTGTTTAAAGGCAACTACTCATGAGTGCTTACTCATAAAATTGTGTTATTTCCCAAGTAAAAAGAATTAATGCAGAATAATACCGTATTAATTGGTAATATCATTTATAGTGGGAAAAACTGAACCTACAGAATATAAAGTGAGAGATAAAGCACTTGGGAAAGTGGTCTTGTATCTCTTTAGATATATTATTGATGCCATTATTGTATGTTTAATATTATTTTATAATGCTGAGTGAATATGTACAGCATATTGCATATATAATTAAAATGAGTACTGTCTGCCACCATGCAATCAAAATTTTATGTAGTTTAAAATATTTAGTAAAAATGTACTAGGTGTCCAGGACAATCCCTAAAATAGATTGATCCTTTATTAAGGTGCCAAGTAAATGGGTGACAATTTGGATCCTGGAGGGCTTTATTAAACCTCTACTTGCTTTACATTTTTGTCTTCTCCAAATGCCAGCAGAATCACACATTTCAAATATTTTGCAGGCAATTAAGTTACCTTCATTTAAATCCATTCTGTT